GTTTGAGTGATGTAAGTAATGAATCAAAGTGAAGAATTGACAATCTACCTCGCAGAAAGAAGCTTTCCCCATGCGTCCTGGCAAGTGATTTCAATTGCCTTCCTCTTTTTTTTTTTTTAATTATTATTATTATTATTTAAGCTTCAAACTATAAAACTATTTTGTTATTTATTTTTTTAGTTTACCCTATTTTTTCACCTATTTGATTAACCACCTTGAGGAGATAACAATGAGCTAAAACTACTATTTACCTTTCAACAGCAGAAATGAAAATAAAAAAAAATCAAAATCATTAAAAATTCAAAATCAGAACTTGCCAACTTGAATGGTTGAAGATGTGGGCCTTTTTCCAACCCAAGCGATCCATTAGAACTCCTTCATTTTTTGCTTGCCTGGTAAAACAAAATAAAATCCTTAATCTTTTCAGAATAATACCTTCTAAAAAAATCTACCTAGAACCACACAGTAAAATCAAATCAACATACATTCAATTCATAGCAAAAATCTATATTTACTTGCCAAAAACCTTCTTTCAATAATTCTTTCGATTGTTCTATAATGGAAAGCCTCTGTAAAAGAAAACAAAAATAAATGGTTAGAACTTCTAAAATGGCAACCACCAAATTAAAGGAAAACGAAATAGAAAAAAAGAAGAAGAAATGAATAGAAGAAAGGGAAGTTGCACGGTCGTGGAGAATGAAGGAAATAAGCATGGGAGGTTGCTTTGAGAAATGGAGGAAGCTAGCCGATTGCGTGAAGAGGAGGTGAAGAGGAGTGATGCGTGATGGAAGACCAAAAAAAAAAAAAAAAGTGATTCTACATTTTGTGGAGTAACAATGGATTCATTTACTATTCAATCAACAATGCCATCTCCTTCTCCTTTTTAATAGAGGTTAGATATAGCCGTAATATTTCATAATTTTCGATAATCTTTCGTAATCTTTATTTAACCTCATTAACACCCCCCTCAAATTGATGCTGCTAAAAGCATCAATTTACAATCTTGAATTGTGACGATGACAAATCTTGTGTCCATGAAGAAGAAATCCAAACGAGAGCAACCAACTATGAAAACTATTGATGACGAGAGACCAAGAACAACAAAATAGTACAGAAATAACCAAGAAGAACTCCAAAACCACTCCAAGAACACTCTAGATAGCTCACTCCCCCAAGAAGAATTTTCAAAAGAAATTCACGAAGTGTGCCGACACACACGGTGAGCTCTATCTGTCAGGAGAGCTCAGTTGAATATTTAATTCGTGTTCCAACAAAAATTCTAACGCCAAAGTATGGCAAAGATTCCAGCAATATATCGCTAGCCAAGATGCTGTAGTTGGGAGAAATTTCACAAAACAGCCTACACCAAAAAAATGCAAAGATGATCCTTCTCCTAGAATCCAAAACTCTAGCTCATCACTGAGCAACCAAAACAGAAAACAAAAACGCAAACAAAACACGCCCTAATTTCCTTTAATATTATAATGTGCTAGCTAGAAATGCTAATTTGAGGCCAATTTGCTGAATGAATTATTCTTTTGACATTGTCTTTCATATATACACATTTATGGAATATAAAAGAAAGGAAAATTACAATTGGGAATCAATTCCTAATTTTGTGTGGCTTTAAAAGGAAAGCAATAAATCACTCCTATAATAGAATCAATCACCCTATAATATTTTCCCTCAAATTGATGCGGATGAGTCCACAAGCATCAATTTGATGATAAGGAAATTATGATGATGGTAAGTTCAGGATTTGGTGAAGATATTTGCAGTCTGTTGAGTAGTGAAAACATGAGGAAGAGTGACGTAAGATGCAAAGAACAAGAGAAAGGATAGAAAGAAAGGGTATCCAAGAAATGAAGAATTGAGGGCAAGAGGAAAATCAATCTTTATTCATATAATCAAGGTTCAATTACAATGAATAGGATAAATCTAGTTTACCAGGGCCACATGGGCCGAGCGTCGTTCCAATGAATAAGGCCCTCTATTTATAGGGTAATAAACTCAAAAAAGTTAAAAAGAAAACAAACTCCTAATAATATTAAAATATCACAACAAATCTTATCTAATCTAATTATAATTAAACGCAATTTAAAATTTCTATTTAAACTGTAACTCTATATTTTTATTCCTATCTTGATCTCCATCAAAGAGCAATGACCTTAGAATCATAGGCATTCCGGATATAATGAAGGTCTACTTCAATATGTTTGGTACGTTCATAATACACATGATTAGCCGCAATTTGAGTAATAGTAGTGTTGTCAGCATGGAGTGTTGTAGGTTGTGATTGACAAACACTGACTTCTGTGATGAGTCCTCGTAGCCACAAAATCTCAAAACAGGTAGCTAACATAGCGTGATATTCAACCTTAGTGGACGACTTAGAAACACAGTCTTGTTTCATACATTTCCAAGAAATGAAAGCATCACCTAGAAAGATACACACCTAGCAGTACGAAGAGAATCAGGGCAACCAGCCTAATCAGTATCACTATACACTGTGAGCTCAAGAGACGTCCCCTTAGGGAGAAACGGATCACAATGAGAAGTCCCAATAAGATATTAAATAATTCAACGAATAGCTACCAAATAATGAAGATGTGCATCCATAGATTTACTGATCGTATGAATGAACGAAAGAAATATTGGGACGTGTGATAGTGAGATAAATTAAGACGTCCTACCAACTTTCAATATAGAGTAGGGTCTGGAAGAAAATTTTCTTCTTTTCGATATTTAACATTAAGCTCCAATGGAGGAGGCTTCAGATAAATTAACCAATTTATGCAAGTTTTGAATATACTTATGTTGATTCAAGAAAATGCCATGATGTGCTGTATAAACCTCTGAGACTTTTTACTGTGGACATGGCACAACATCCTGATTGGCCTCAAGAGCCTCAATTTTTGTTTTCATCGCCCGTTGCCAATACTCGTCCATAGCTTGTCTGTGGGAGGAATGAATGGAATCAAATTAAGGATAGCAGACATAGAGCTATAGGAGGAAAAACTAATCCTATTTGGTGGTGGTGGAACACGAGAAGTTTGACGTGGAGGAACATGAGGCAGCAAATCATCTGGTGAAGGATCAAAGATGCTTGGGAGGACAATCGTCTGAGAAAGAAGCTCTTGACCAGTGACGTGCAACTAACATGCGAGTGTAAACAAGACCCGGCTTGTACCGATATGATTCTATGGTGGAAATTAGGTAAGATAGAGAGCATAAGGGAGAAAATAAGTATACGTAGTGAAGAAAGATTTTTTTTCAAAGAAAAAAACATTACGAGAAATCTAAATTCTTTGTATCCTAGGATCAAAATAGACATACCTCTTTTGAGTCCCACCATATAGGACGGATCTTTGCATACTGTAAATCCCAAAAGAGAATAACTTCAACCGCGCTACCTTCATGATTAGGGGTAGTGTTAGTCACTTGTGGGACACCGTTTAATTAGTTGAAGACATGACTCAGATAATTGGAACTCTATCTTGAACTGTTCATAAATAAATACTTCTCAAGTTCCTCTAGTAGCCAAAAACTCATTGACTTCGTACACCTATGTCCAGAAACCCAATCTCTTAGTGACTATCTTCGTGTCCGACACGACACGATGTTGCAGACATGCAAATTTTCAAAAAAAAAGTAGGACACGCAAATTTTAAGTGGGAGACACGTTGATTAAAATAATATTCAAATATAGGATTAGACACTATCTTAAGAAATTCAATGAGTTATCTTGTTTTGCTTCAAATGTGGTCTGTACCGATGAACTTAAAATTGAACTCTTTGCCGAGGGATTACACCCAGAGTTGAATCGAGATGAAAGAATTGCTAAAGCTCAAGGAGTCACTTTATTTTAGTGATAGAAGAAGCTGAATTAGAGATTACTAAAACGCAAGAATTCCGTCATTTCCACCAACCTTCATCACCAAATGAGAGTAATGCCAGTAGTAATCAGAACAAATCCAAATGGCATGGACCCTGGAGGACATGATAATAATCTTGTTCCAAATAAGGAAGATAAAATAGAGGATTCAGTCTCACCTACAACAGTCACGAATTGTAATAAGTGTGAGAGTGCAAATGGTGGTAAATGCCACTTTTGTCAAAGAATTTGTTATTTCTGCAGAAAATTGGAACATGTAAAAAGCTAGTGTGCCATTAAACCAATTGATTCTACTCCAGCAGGAGTATATTCTTCTGCCAGAGAATGATCAGTAGCAAAGGACACTCATATGTGGTGTCAGTTATATAAACAGTCGGCAGTAGACTGACTATCATGCTTTTCTGGTATAACATATTTGTTTATGCATCCAGTCCTAAGATATTAATATGGAATTAAATTCAAGAATCCGAAATGAGAGAATAATACCTAGAACTGTTTAGTTGAATTTTGTTTTAGCTGCTTTTGAGTACTGCACCGGTGAAACACCTCTTATTTTTAGATAGGCTTGAAAATTTGGGGAACTTGATGGAAAATAAATTAGTATGCACAAAAATTTGGTCACGTTACATTTTAAAATTCAGAGTTCATAAAGATGTATAACAGAATAAGAATATTACTCCACCTACATTTGAATGTCCTTGTTTGATTTGGATTGTCTACATGATCACCTCTTTCCAAAATCATTATTTACTTTTCAATAATTTTCTTATTCAAGTGATTGAATGACTACATGGGTGTTGGCCATTGATTTATACATAAAATTGAAAAGGTTTTGTTGAACATTATCTCTTTTATTCACTAAAATCAGCTTTAATTTGTAGTACAAAATAACCAATAGCTTATGAATGAAGCACTTCAGGTGGCTCTGTGGCTTAGAATATCATGTATGTTGTGATGCTCTGAAGTATTTCTATGGCAAAATTCCAATCTTGTAAACAATTTGGGCACTGGTGTGTAATTGTGCAATTGCTTCCTGCTTCCAGAGTTTGCTCACTTGAATAGTCCTGTGGGTAAAGTTACATTAAGATATACTGTCGATTGTCAGATAACTATCAAGGGTTATGCGGTATCAGGAGGTGGACGTGGCATAGAGAGAGTAGACGTGTCCGTCGATGGTGGCAAAACCTGGATGGAAGCCTCTAGATTCCAGAAAGCTGGTGTTCCATACACCTCTGACGATGCAAGTAGCGACAAATGGGCATGGGTGGTCTTCAAGGTTGAGGCTGATATCCCAATGAGTGCTGAGATTGTTGCTAAAGCGGTATGTTATATATTAACACGGTTACTTCCAATAAAATTAGTTTTTTAGTTTACTTAAGCAAAGTTATCCAGGCATATTTGAAAACAAAAGTCACTTAAAACTAATTTCTACACTTATTTTATTTTATTTTATTAGTTTATTATTTTTAAAATAAACTTTGCCAAACAAGATCTGATGAAAACTTGGAGATATAGTTTGGCGCTTGTAATGATTATTATGAGTGCATGAAAAAAGTTGGCCAGTATCACAGTGCTCAACTCTGTGTCAACTGTGGTATTATATTTTCTTCTTATTGGCAGGTGGACACAGCTGCAAATGTCCAACCTGAAGATGTAGAAGTTATCTGGAACTTGAGAGGGATACTGAACACCTCATGGCACCGAGTTCATGTTCGGGTTGGGCATTCCAGTATGTAGACAAAGCAGTCGGATCTAACATCCTGCACTGTCGGGGACTGGTTTAGATGTGGATAACATGTAATTTATCGTGTTTTTAGGAAGTTTATACGATCATCTGTACAATATTATATTTCCCAGTTTCCAAACGTGTGAAAGAAATTATGTTCTGTTCTTTAAAGATTTCGCTGGAATTTTTTGAGCTGTTTTGGTAAAATGGGATTCCTATAGTGAGAGATGACATCCCTTTTAACGTATTTCTATATCAAATATGTCAATAAGGACACCTCTTTATGTTAATGTGACGATATCTTAGAATTGAAGAAATAGTGCAAACTTGAAAATTTTACCCAGATCTCAAGACCAGAAATTTCTAGTTCTATGTCACCAAAGATACTTATTATCTATGGCGTTACACATCAGTAATCTCTTTGAATGAGGGCAAATCTCTACAATGATTGTAACGAGACAATAAAAGATTGATAACAGCCCCTTCAAGAGATTACCAAAAGCAATCCTATGAAAGTTTGCTAAACAAATGTATGCTCATTCTTCAAATAAATTTCCTCTTAATTCAGGTAAATAATTGAAATGTAAGCTCAGGCTTCCACATATTCCATTTAAAGCAGCTTGCAGAACTGAGACGTGTTTTGTGCATCATCTTTCAAAATTTAAATACGTTTTACTTTTGAGAAATGCTACTTTTATAGGTTGTTTTAACATATGTAGTTACAGAATGTTGAATTGGCAAAATTTCAAACATTTTGTACAAAAAAAGAAAAAGATAAAAAAGATTAAATCAGCCAATGAAATCTTGCCAGCTCAGCACCTGTAACTCTATTTGTTAAAAAAATCTATACAAGTAACATTTTTCCTTTATTTTTTGGACCATGCTAGATGTACCTAATTTTTTTTACCTAATGCTTTTCATACACTCACAATAGAGATGTCGGGGCCACATGTTAGGATTATTTTATTCACGCGAGTCCACGTGCTTGTGAGAGTAGGTAAACCATTTGGTAAATCAAATTATATACACTTAGAATTATCCTTAATTTTTTTGTCCTATCGTGTCCAACATAACAAATATGTCACAAGAAAATAATCTGGATGGAGAAACCAATACCAACCTTCGTAGCCTACTCCACTAGCTCAATCAGCATGCAGCAATATGAGGTTGCTAATGAAGACACCAACTCAAGGTCCTCGTTACAATGCTAAGTACCTGACTCTGCTTATTTAGTAAAATTCTAAATCAATAGACCTTTGTGTCCAAAAATTTGAGCACCATATCTCAGATTCTAAAGAAAAGGGACGTGAGATCAAATTTTTTAGTGCAAAAGCAAATAGATCGAAGATGAAGCATATCCATAAAATAAATAGTACAATCATCTAGCAAGATCTCGAGTGTTTCACTTTAGGCTGGCATCTACACAATGACATACAATACAACATTTGACCAGTCAAACAACAGCACTTAAAAGCTAGAACTGCTTTTGCACATTGGCAAAGATAAATAAATCTGTAATGCAAATTTGTCTGACAACCAGAAACAGCAAGTGAAACGACAGTGCTGAATGACCAGATATACTATCTGCTTCTTTTACAAGGATTCATGGTTCATTACCACTGAAAAATGCAAATACCAGTCACAAAAAAGCTGTGCAGATGTTCAACGAACAGTAAGTGATAGAAGCAACTGCATACTAGTTTTAGCAGCTCTAGTGTTTCAGCCTACTTGGCCTCCAGAAGCATCTGCAGGCTGTTTACAGTTCAAATATCGATAAAAGCTTTAGGGTTCCTGCCTACTCGTGTTTCCAGGAGCATCTGTAGGTGGTTTACGATTCAGATAGCGTATAACAGCATCTTCCACCCTGTCAAGAAGATACTCTGATTTCAGTAACAAGTCCAGGATTATGGGGATATGATAGGAAGTAAGTTTAACTCTAAAATGGAAGCAGCTGATATCTCATGTAGAAAACATAACCTACCAAATACCAATACTTTCCTATTTCCTTCGTATTGAATACAAGAGTCACTTAAAACTAATTTCTACACTTATTTTATTTTATTTTATTAGTTTATTATTTTTAAAATAAACTTTGCCAAACAAGATCTGATGAAAACTTGGAGATATAGTTTGGCGCTTGTAATGATTATTATGAGTGCATGAAAAAAGTTGGCCAGTATCACAGTGCTCAACTCTGTGTCAACTGTGGTATTATATTTTCTTCTTATTGGCAGGTGGACACAGCTGCAAATGTCCAACCTGAAGATGTAGAAGTTATCTGGAACTTGAGAGGGATACTGAACACCTCATGGCACCGAGTTCATGTTCGGGTTGGGCATTCCAGTATGTAGACAAAGCAGTCGGATCTAACATCCTGCACTGTCGGGGACTGGTTTAGATGTGGATAACATGTAATTTATCGTGTTTTTAGGAAGTTTATACGATCATCTGTACAATATTATATTTCCCAGTTTCCAAACGTGTGAAAGAAATTATGTTCTGTTCTTTAAAGATTTCGCTGGAATTTTTTGAGCTGTTTTGGTAAAATGGGATTCCTATAGTGAGAGATGACATCCCTTTTAACGTATTTCTATATCAAATATGTCAATAAGGACACCTCTTTATGTTAATGTGACGATATCTTAGAATTGAAGAAATAGTGCAAACTTGAAAATTTTACCCAGATCTCAAGACCAGAAATTTCTAGTTCTATGTCACCAAAGATACTTATTATCTATGGCGTTACACATCAGTAATCTCTTTGAATGAGGGCAAATCTCTACAATGATTGTAACGAGACAATAAAAGATTGATATCAGCCCCTTCAAGAGATTACCTAAAGCAATCCTATGAAAGTTTGCTAAACAAATGTATGCTCATTCTTCAAATAAATTTCCTCTTAATTCAGGTAAATAATTGAAATGTAAGCTCAGGCTTCCACATATTCCATTTAAAGCAGCTTGCAGAACTGAGACGTGTTTTGTGCATCATCTTTCAAAATTTAAATACGTTTTACTTTTGAGAAATGCTACTTTTATAGGTTGTTTTAACATATGTAGTTACAGAATGTTGAATTGGCAAAATTTCAAACATTTTGTACAAAAAAAGAAAAAGATAAAAAAGATTAAATCAGCCAATGAAATCTTGCCAGCTCAGCACCTGTAACCCTATTTGTTAAAAAAATCTATACAAGTAACATTTTTCCTTTATTTTTTGGACCATGCTAGATGTACCTAATTTTTTTTACCTAATGCTTTTCATACACTCACAATAGAGATGTCGGGGCCACATGTTAGGATTATTTTATTCACGCGAGTCCACGTGCTTGTGAGAGTAGGTAAACCATTTGGTAAATCAAATTATATACACTTAGAATTATCCTTAATTTTTTTGTCCTATCGTGTCCAACATAACAAATATGTCACAAGAAAATAATCTGGATGGAGAAACCAATACCAACCTTCGTAGCCTACTCCACTAGCTCAATCAGCATGCTGCAATATGAGGTTGCTAATGAAGACACCAACTCAAGGTCCTCGTTACAATGCTAAGTACCTGACTCTGCTTATTTAGTAAAATTCTAAATCAATAGACCTTTGTGTCCAAAAATTTGAGCACCATATCTCAGATTCTAAAGAAAAGGGACGTGAGATCAAATTTTTTAGTGCAAAAGCAAATAGATCGAAGATGAAGCATATCCATAAAATAAATAGTACAATCATCTAGCAAGATCTCGAGTGTTTCACTTTAGGCTGGCATCTACACAATGACATACAATACAACATTTGACCAGTCAAACAACAGCACTTAAAAGCTAGAACTGCTTTTGCACATTGGCAAAGATAAATAAATCTGTAATGCAAATTTGTCTGACAACCAGAAACAGCAAGTGAAACGACAGTGCTGAATGACCAGATATACTATCTGCTTCTTTTACAAGGATTCATGGTTCATTACCACTGAAAAATGCAAATACCAGTCACAAAAAAGCTGTGCAGATGTTCAACGAACAGTAAGTGATAGAAGCAACTGCATACTAGTTTTAGCAGCTCTAGTGTTTCAGCCTACTTGGCCTCCAGAAGCATCTGCAGGCTGTTTACAGTTCAAATATCGATAAAAGCTTTAGGGTTCCTGCCTACTCGTGTTTCCAGGAGCATCTGTAGGTGGTTTACGATTCAGATAGCGTATAACAGCATCTTCCACCCTGTCAAGAAGATACTCTGATTTCAGTAACAAGTCCAGGATTATGGGGATATGATAGGAAGTAAGTTTAACTCTAAAATGGAAGCAGCTGATATCTCATGTAGAAAACATAACCTACCAAATACCAATACTTTCCTATTTCCTTCGTATTGAATACAAGAAATTCAGGTCGAACAAGTTTCTATTCAGATAAAAAGAGAATGGACAATACTTAACAATGTCTATGACATGCCTGATATACCAGCAAAATTTCAATATTTAGGGCATTATAAGGGTTTTAACAAAGTTGCACGGACATGAACACGCTGGCAAGCGATTCTTTGGAAAGGTAGGACACAGACACATTGGGACGTGATTTAAATTCTTTAAAATTTTAAATTCATATTTCATATCCATTTTTTATTTTTATTTTTTATAGAGTTTTATATAAGACACAGCCCATGACATGCTGTATACTTGCCCGAGGGGTATCTCTAAATATCACTAGATTGTCGGGAATTTAAAAAATATATAAAACGTCTGATACGATACGACGTGACAGACACGGACATGGAGCCTTTGTACGAGTGTCTGTGCATCATAGATTTTTGGTCATTTGAATCAGTTAACAAAGCAAAAACATCTCAAATACTTCTGAAATTTATTGCATGCATTCAACTCCATCTTTTTGTCTGAACCATTTGCTTAAATAATAAGTCAGACCTAATTGCATCCAAAATAATCTGATCGACGAAACCCAACCTATTTACAACGATGATATTCAATAAAGTAAAGAGCTAAAAACAGTTAACTGGGAACAGGATGATAATTATGAACATACCAGGGTTGGCTGTAGAAATCCGATCGACGCTCTTTTTCTGGGTTGCGAATTCCTTCCCCAGAAACAACTTTCAGATCCTTGCTTTGAGAATCAATCAGAGTGTTAATAAATTCTATGGGTGACTGACTAAAACCAAGAAAGAATGCCCTTCTTCTACCGTGCTCATGGATCTTTCTTATAGCAGTACAAATTGCTTCATCACAGGCATCGATCTCTTTTGTTTTTTCAGTACTGGCCAACAGAGCATTCAATTCCCTCTGTATTGGGAAGGGTACATCAACTAGGACATCATAGCATGCAGTTCCAGCAGGACAATTTCCTGAAAGTTTGATCCTGTGCTCTAAATGTATGGGTTGTGGAGGAAACAGATGGGGTGTTATTTTCTGTGTCACTGCAGTAAATCTGATCTTTCTTTCCCCAAACACTTTCTGAAGTGGAGGATCACAATTGAAAGACGAAGGGTCATCCGGACACTGCAACTTTCTAGCCTTCACATAATGCCAAATGGCAGCCATAATTCTTGCACGAGTATCAACCTCGATACCTAATACTTCCATCAGAGCTGATGAAAGCTTATACTTTTCGGGCATATAATTCAATTCTAACCGTATATTCACGGTAAATTCTTGATCCCCTTTCCTTTTTACCTCAAAGCCTTCATGAGAAGTAGGAGACCGAGCACTATCCCATATAATCATATGGTTATCAGGATAGAGTTTCTGGTCCAAGGAAATAGTAACTCTCCTGAAAAATGAAGAGAACCTTGGATGTAAAGAGCTTGATTTCTGCATCATGCCAGCTTGGTCAGGATCCATCCCGTCCTCCAAAATCCTCCCTACAATTTTAAGGGTCCATGTAGGCGGCTCCGCATTTGGCTTCTTAGGAATTGTACGAATTTGATCAGCAAAAGTGTTAAATACATATATCCGGAGAGTTTTCTGTATGTATGACGGAGTTTTTAGAGCCTCTTGGATATCAATTTTCTTCCTTGTCAGAGCAGCATCCACTCGAGACTCAAACTCAAGGAGCTGTGTGTAAAGAGCAGATTCAGGCAAAATTGCTGCCACTCTTTCCTGTAACTGCTTCTCTGGAAGCTTCTGCTTTTTCCTGCGAATAGTAGCTGAAGCATCCATTGTCCTCATAGGAGAAACTGTGTTGTTAGGCAAGAAGCCAGTCGACCGCACAGGTGGTTTCTGCATATACCTTTTAGCATTGGCACTTCCAGCTCCTGAAAGAGAGGGAGATGGCGAACCCAAATTTGCCCCGCTGGAATGTGCTTGGTTGAATGAAAGCCCTTGAGCAGCTTGCAACTGCGCTTGAAATTGAGCATGGGCAGCCTGCACTTGTGCTTGGGCGTGAGCCTGAGCCTTCGACTGAGCTTGAGCAATGGCTTGGGCATGAGCTGGAGTTAACTGAGACATCTGAAATTGCCCCGGAAAGCCAGATCCGACTTGTTGCTGAGCAGAAGGGTTCACAGGCAACGAATTGTTGAAGGGCGACGAAGCCCCAATGTTCTTTGGTTGATTATTGTTATTTGCAGACATAGCTAAATCTAAACAATTAATAACCTCAGATAATCCCTAATCAGCATATGCATCAGCGCACAGAGAGGGACTCTAATTACTGCATATAAATGCCTAAAAGCTAATAACTATAAGAAGGAACCCAAGAAAAGCTTAAGAGTACGTAATTAAGCACGAAGCCCCAAAAACCGTATATTTTCGACGCAAAAAGAATATTTTTCGAAAAGATCAAAACTTGGCGACAGCTTATTATCACATAAAAGAGACTGTAACAATCGAAAACCTAAACCTTAATCATATACAATGCGAAAATTAGAAAAAAGTTGATAAATTATATAATTAGAAATTTTTCGATCGAAATTATTGAATAGATTACAACAGAATCTCACTGGTGCGAGGTGGAAACGGCGGAGCTTCCTTCGCGGCAGTTGACTCGCTCGGCGAGTTACGACTCAACAATGGAGCGAGTGAGGTTTCATTTTGGTTATAGTCATTTAAAGCAGATTGGGCTCATTTACAAGTCCACTATGTTTTGGGCTGTCATCCAAATTTTTGTAGACTTTGTTTTGTTTTTCTTTTTGCTGCACATAACAGAATTTTTTCTTTAATTTTGTTAGGCTAATATTTTACGAAGCATACACGTAGTAAGACAATGGTCGACATAAGTTGATTAAGTTATTATTTTTTATAGTAAACATGTCGAGTTGATATGATATATGATACTTAATGTGACATCTCACCTATCACTCACCTTTATTTTATACTGTTCTCATTTGATCATTAGAGTTCAACAGGTCATACCTTAATTGCTGTGGTCGACCTCATAATTGAGTCTTAATTTGCTAGTAACCGTGAAGAAATAACTATCGTATTCCGATTGGGGATTATGACCGCATTTTGATGTCAAATTGTCATTTTAGGATAACTAATTCTCTATTCCATGGACTAAGGAGATGTTCAATACTCTGCTGCTAATACCTACTTCCCAAAATTTTTATTATGTAGATAATGTGCAGTGTAGACTTAGAATTAAGCATCTTTGTTTTACTTGATCATCACTAAAGCACTACATAAAAGGTCGAACCCCAATTTTGAAGGCCCCTACCACTCCATTCCTGGAGTGTTGTGAGGGAGGTAAATCGAGGGATGTGCCCCATTAGATCAAGGAACAAGATCCTTTGTATCACTGGATTATGCCCTGGGGGGCCCCTGAAGCACTGCATGGCTTATAGCTAAAATTGTGTATTAATTTTTGCTGCGAGTAAAGTGAAACTATGAGAAATTTCAGAGAAAATATACTCTGTCCGAGAAGAAAATTTGAGAAGTTCAGAAAGACAAGCAACTTCCGTGATAGAATGAGGAAATTACATTACAGAGGTTAGTAAATCAAGTGAACAATGATTTACATGAAGTAAAAGTAGTAATAACAATCTTGTTACTAGACCATCCTTTATGATAATGTGGATTCGAATTCTTTAAGAATCCTCCCTCAAGCAACCATAACACAGCAATTGTAAATGAAGTTACCAAGCAGATTTTCGTCACCATCAATAGGTCTCCACTGCAATTCACTGGCATCGGCATCTGGGCTGCAAGTATATATAGCCATGTGACGGGAAAAATCCGATGGTCCTACTACAAGCAGCTCGTTTCCCAGAGACAAGAATGCGATTCCCCAACCTCCGTCCCAAGCGGATTGATTGAGTCGAGCTTTTGAGTATTTGACTGAATTCGATACGAACTTTAATCGATTTTCAATTCTCAATTTATTTAACCAATATCCAACAGCTGCGAGTAAAGTGAAACTATGAGAAATTTCAGAGAAAATATACTCTGTCCGAGAAGAAATTTTGAGAAGTTCAGAAAGACAAGCAACTTCCGTGATAGAATGAGGAAATTACATTACAGAGGTTAGTAAATCAAGTGAACAAGGATTTACATGAAGTAAAAGTAGTAATAACAATCTTGTTACTAGACCATCCTTTATGATAATGTGGATTCGAATTCTTTAAGAATCCTCCCTCAAGCAACCATAACACAGCAATTGTAAATGAAGTTACCAAGCAGATTTTCGTCACCATCAATAGGTCTCCACTGCAATTCACTGGCATCGGCATCTGGGCTGCAAGTATATATAGCCATGTGACGGGAAAAATCCGATGGTCCTACTACAAGCAGCTCGTTTCCCAGAGACAAGAATGCGATTCCCCAACCTCCGTCCCAAGCGGATCTCACCGGAACTCGCCCCAGCGCCTTCCATGAATTGGTCTTCTTCAAATACACCTTCAGCTTGTTGGAAGAACATTCAAGCAAGAAGAGTTCATTATTTACCACAGCAAGAAGTGGTGGAGAGTGGTGTGGTGATCTCGGAATGTCCTTCAACATGTCGGGAATGAGTTCCCATGTGTTTTTTGTTTCATCGAAAAATTCACCGCATGTCAGTTCTCCATCGTCATTTCTCCCACCAATCACGTAAAATTTATGGTCCATGTAACATCCGGAGCAAAACCTCCTCCTCTTTTTCATCCTCGGAAGTGGTTCCCATGATCCGTTGCCTGAATTATATTTTTCAGCGGTATCATAGGTTTCACAATTTGCTGCATCCCCCATGCCACCAGCCACATAAGCAAAGGTACCACAAGTTGCAGAAGCGAACAAGCATCTCGGGCTAGTCATAGATGGACCCTTGTACCATTTATTCTCAGCCAATTCATACCTCCAAATAACTAGACCATCAATTTCTCTACCAGAAACGAGAAGGTGAGTACCAGCACAAAGTGTCTCTTTATCTCCGCAACTAAAACAAGGATCTGACGGTAGAACTGGAAGCTTCCTATGGGACCTAAATTCTCGATCAAATGCCAACCAATTACCTTCCCCAGAAGTAAGCATGAAAACAGATGGTTCTTTAACTCCATTTTCCTTTCGAATATTGTAATGCTCACTACTTTTTAAAAGAGTCAAACCCCTTTTGTTCACAAAGCATAAGTTCAAATCACACCAATGGCACATGTGAGAATAATCTGCATCATGAGGGTCTTCACCAGAAGGATTGGGTACATTCTGATCTGAGGTATTGCCAATTTCCCAAGTCCCAACCTTATTCGAGTCAGAAGTGTCAATAGTAATCCAATCGTCACCACTGAAATCCAAATCACACCAATGGTTCCTTTCTGAACCACCAACACCCTTCTTTTCTTCTGGACTTCCTCTTTCGGTTCCTATCTTTCGTTTCCTCTTTCTTTTCCGCAAAATCCTCTGAATTTTCATCTAATCAAATGAAAAGAAAACGAGACAATGTGATTATAAACGCCATAAGCCCCTCATAAAAGAAATTCTGACATCCAACTACAAATCTGTGTCAAGGACTTGAGAGAAGCCGTGTTGGATTATTTGATATCCAATAAATCTCGGACTATGATATTAACGTGGGTTAATATTATTTCATAAGCATAGACCGATGAAAGAAATAAGTCTAATAACTAAGTCCATGAGTTACACCCAGCCCAATTATATTCCTGTTTGGATGACTTGAATCTTGATCCATTTAAGTGCTTAAAGGTCCAACTAAAAGTCTAACTTTAGAGTATATATAACGATATAACCCTAACCACTTTTCTTGTATGATTTGTGTGGTTTTGAGAGAAAAATAAAGGAATCCTGACTGACCCCTTTGGTGTGTGAAAAATAGTCTCTAAAAGTGTCCAAAACACTTGTTTACTGTATATAATTGGTAGTTTTTTCATAATATACTTTTATGGTGTCTTCTCCTTAACTTTGTGACCACAAATCATTATTTTTTCTTGTCGTGCGTAGGTAAGATTGAATAGCAACCAAGGTGAATTATATTGGTTGTGGTTTGAACTTGGTTGGATTGGTTTTTGGTAGAGCTTTGCGTTAGATTGAGCCCGAAAATTCACCAATTTGAAGATCAATTCGAAGAGCTTGGGTATTTTGGTACCCAATAAATTCGGACGATGATGTTAAACTGATTTTGGATAAGTTGTATCGACACCTTAGTGATAACTCGACCCAGAAACAACTAGGGGTCATTTGAAGCAACTTAATTGAGTTAATGTTGCTCGTGGCCCAACACTTTTGGATGACCCAAGTTGTTGCTTTACATTGGAATGATATACTGGTTATTTGGATTGTTGGCCCAATTACCCTTTGGCCCATTGGTTAACCTAAACTAGCCCATTATATATACATTCATCCTAGCTGTTTTGTGGTGCATTGGTCTTGTGAGAAAAGAGAGAAAAAGGTGAGTCTTGGCCGCCCTTTGGTTCTTCCTTGGGGATCTAATTGCTACTCTATTTCTCTTCCTTTGTTGCTTGCAAACCAATCATCAAGTATCTCCTTTGTGGGGTGAAGACTTGTGACAACCAAGTGGGAGTTGTGGGTTGAGTAAAGCTCGTTTGGTGTTCATTTGGTTGATGAAACTGAGCCCGGATCAAGATTTCTCGAGGATTTCCACGACAAGCCGTTTAGTACTTCAAAAACAAAACATTTAAATCTCCACTAAATCATCTGTTCAAATAACTAAAAATATGGATTTTCAAACGAAGGACGATAAACTAAAAACCGAAAAATTATTAAATACGCTCATACCAGAAATCCCATTTAACGGATGCAGGGCTGGCCTTAGTTCAAAAACAGATACTTTTTCCCTCCTACGAAACAGATAGGAAAGAAGATTACAAACTAAATATCAAGCTGACATGAAAAACAAATCAATAATCTCATATGATCAATACTGGAAGCAAATGAAGCGATTACTATAATCGAAAGAGTGATGGCCGACGAACAATAAAGATCTACAAAAAATTATTTCATGAGTTAAAGTCTGTCATAATTAAGAAATCTGATAACACATAAAACAGTTCTAAACCTTGAAACAAATTAATCAAAGTGAAAACATATAAAAACCAAACATCATGGTAGATAAATGCATCGCCAAGATTAGAAATCATATACCCAATTTATACAGAAGGATACAATAAATGTACACATGGAGATAGCAATAGAAGCTCACCCAGGAAGCGAAATAAGCCCAGTTATGGAAGAAGCAATAATAAAAACATTTCAACTCAACCCTAAGAAAGCATAAACCATAATGTACATTCAGCGTAAATAGAGGAAGAAAGAAGACATGTATACATAAAAAATATGTACTATAATAGATAAAGAGAAGGGCAATTCCATTTGTACGCTAGACTACATGTAGCATATCTCGAGAAAAGAGAGGTATATATGCAAGGAATTAACCCTATCAGCCGCCCCTCCAATAGGGGGCACCAAATAGTTTTTTGGCCTGAATTTAAGCTTGACCAAATTGCACAATTGATATGCAAGAAGAGGTAGTTTCTTGGAACCCCCATTTGCTTTGAAGGGATTAAAAAATTAATCATGCTACTTGTGCGTATGTGTGTGTATATATATGTATACCATTTTATTTTATTTTATTTTTAAACACAATTTTGACAATTCACATTTGATAACATTGCACTGATTCAGTTCAAAAATTATTTTTTAAATCAATGGTGTAGGTAAATATTAGATAATCAAATCAAACCGAAGGCCTGTGTATTCATAGTTTTCTTAAATCGAATTCACCGCCTCACCGGAGTGCAAAACGTTTTGATCGGTGTTCGATTTTCAGGATACAATCGGTTGTCGGTTCACGCTGCACTACGTTAACCGCCTGCGAACTAGCTGTGATATACTCTATCTCACAAAGAAATTATAAGCGCAAGGAAGAACTTGAAAGTGAGAAAAAGAATATTGTTGTTTAGAGGAAAAAGCTTGCATTTCACTTGTGATTTTCCAATCTAGAGAGACTTCTATTTATACTAATGGAGGAAAAGCTAGCTTATTAATCAAGGAGTTAAACTATTCATTGATAAAGGAGTTAAAAACATGAAGGGACTTGAGTTACTTGAATTACAATATATGAAGAGACTTCTATTCAATATTTTTCATTATTTCTATTCAATATTTTTCATTCAATTTTAACAAATGGTCCAAATGTTAACAACATCAATGTTGTCGACCATAACTGTCAAACACAATTATACAAACAGGTTAATTCTTAAAATATATGGAAAAATAAATAATTGATATGAGACCCAACATGGCAACAAAAAAAGGGCATCGTCAATTTGGGTAAAGCAGCTAGATGAGAGAGAGATTTGTATAGTCTGACTCGTGGATTTTTGCTTGTACTTTTCTTGAATTCGATATTCATTGTGAAAGGAATAATTAATTATTTAAAACATAAAGCGTCCTTTTTCCTCTAAAAGGTAGTATTCTAATAGTGATCAAGAGAGGAATTCAGTTTTTTCAATGAAGCATAGAAATGGATGCAATTTCAATTCAAGAATTAGATTCTCAAATCATGTTTGCGTTTTTTCAAACTGGCTTTTCAAATGTTGTCTTTGCATTACTTCACATACATGTTAGATTCAATTTTCACTGAAAAGATATGTTATTTCAAATATATGGGATGGTAAAAAATTGGGTTCCAAATCGTTTGTTCGACTTCATGTTAATCATCTCATTTAAAAAAATATATGTTGGTCGAGGTTGGCACATTGAATTAGTTAAACGGTTTCTTCCCAGAGCCAAAATTTTTCTATCCCCTAATTAATCTTGACATTGCACTGCAATTTAAAAGTTCTCTCTAAATATGACACCTCGAAAACGTAGTGAATGTCGAGATTTCATTAATAAAATAACAAAAATGAGACAGCATATTTAATCATGTCTTCACCATCTCTAGGTAAATATTAAAGAAGCTTCTTAGTAAAACTGTCTTCAATATCTCTTCCAATGTGCATATATTTCTTCTCTGGACATTTTTTACACAACAATATAAAAAGGGAGTGGGATGGTCGAAGAACATTTATGAGATAAACATACAAGGAAATAGTTGGTCTGGAATAATTATTATTTATATTTACCAATCAAAGAATAACATTTCTATGTATAATGACCACCAAATCTAATGATCGACGTCTTTGTATTCAACTCATATATAGCAACCGTTACCAAAACGAGTTATCATATAGAATTGAAGTAGCTCGAAAGAATTGAAACAAAGATCGTAAAATTCAATTAGCATTTTAATTAAAGAGTCGCTCTAGAAAGATCATGTACCTTAATAAGTTATAAAAATGAGAAAATTAGTGATAAAAAAATGAGAAAATTAAAAAGCTCAATCTTGACTCGTCGAATTTTGTTTAAATTAATATAAACAAACTTTCAATATATTAAACTTGAGCAACTGATTAATTAATTTATATTAATTATAAATCTTGCCATTTAGTTAGGCACGCCGTAACCCTAGCTAGAAAGTGGAAGTCCTTATCCATTTGATAAATGACTTTTATTAATAGTTTTTAACAAATTTTCTTCAAAAACGTTAAAGGTTCTGTGTTGTCTCTCCACTTATTAGTTGTTGGAATTGCCTTTAATTTCTGGTATGCTTTTCATATACTTTAAATTTGACTCGAAGTCATAATCGTGAAGAGTTACCATTTTCGTTACAAGTTTGTTTCGCCATTAAAATATAAGATCCATTGTCTGATCTTAATTTCAAATAGACTGATAAAATTCTAAGTTCAATCTATGATACATATGAAATGGCGAATTATCATGAATTCTATAGAAGAGGAAGAATACATGAATCCATGGTGATGAATAATTGGGGTTTGAGGTCTTCCACAAACTAATTACTGTACTCAATGGATTCTCTCTTACAGATGTAAATGAAGAGAGATAAATTTCGAATGACTAGTAGTACGCATGTGCGTTGTACATCTTATGTATCTAATGAATCATATGCATAATATTTTTGAAATACTAATATTGTTCACAAAAATAGTTGAGATGATTGATATTGTTAAAGAAAAATTTAAAATTGTTAAGTGTGTGTGTGTAATATGATTTTATTTATTTATTTTTTGAAAATTAAGTATATAATGTTAAAAGGTTGAATAAACTAAAATATAATGTTTTTACTATAATAACTTACAAATTTTTTTTGTCAACGTCCCACACTTTTTTATTTTTAATTTTCTACTTTTATGAAAACTTTTATTGTTTGTATTGAAACTCCACAAGAAAAGTGCAATATGTAGTTGCTAATGAGAGGTTAAATGGTCAGGAAGATGTATTTCAATAGTATGCACTATTTTTCATTGAGCCTTGTTAATGATCATTGCAAAGCATAGATGTATTGAAAAATGTTTCTATTTAATTTGAATGGATATCTTTCACAATTTGCTAAAGTTAATAAGATGTGAAAAAGGAGAACTTGTCTAGCGTCTATCTTTGTATGGATAATATGTCTATTGAAATCACAACAAATTATTCTTGTTCCATTACAAAGTCTATTGGATGGTCCAGATTCCTTAAGAGCCTCATTGGACAACTTCTTTCCAAGTTTAACTTATATGGTGAGATATGATTTGTCAACGAGGTATTTAGGAACTTCCCCTGGTAAAATTGATTTGTATTATCTATTTTGATTCATCAAAACTGACTAATTCTTCACATTCTCCCGAAAATAACCCAATTAGTTTGTAATTGAGGTAGTCAACATACTCATTTTTTATTGAAAGAATTCTACATTATGTCATGTAATCAGGAGAAACTGCATTTTCTATTAAACCTAGAACATGGTATTGATTAAGTGCAACTCCAAAGTTTCAGCATCGTCACATGCTATATTTTTATTTCATTTGGTAAACTGATGAAGTCATCCTCGTGTAAAGTTTTGTTCCATTATCAATTTGGATAAAATATTGTGCAAATCGATCGTATTTTGGGTATGCATGGTTATTTCGTATCAACTTTTTTCATTTTCTAACAATAATACGATTTAACCAAACTTTGGTTAATTGTTTGTGGTCTTGTTACTCTTGGGACGATAGCCAGTACTTGACGAAAATTTCCTTTAAATACAAAAACCTCTCCGCTAAATTGTTTTGCATTGTCCAAGATATCTCTAAAAGTTCTATCAACGATTTCTATTGTTATTTTGTTGGTAATTGGTGCTTCATCCCATATTATGAGCTTTGCTTTCGAATCAATTCTGATGTAGTACTTTGCTTTAATATACTACACATTGGTTATTCATTAGTCTGGAGTAGAAAATTAAATCTTGAATGGATGAGTCTGTCTCTTGGTATTATTAGTGTTACTAAACCTAAAGTTGTAGTAATTGCTATCATCTCTTGAGATCGAACCCTTGCTAGCAAAGCACGGTATAAAAAGGCTTTTGCTGCACCGCCATGTCCATCGATAAAAATACATCTCTGTTTTCAGTGTTCATTCTTTCAAGTATAACATCAAAAGCATACTTTTTACTGATTTAAATATGGTGTTGCTTGAAATCAAAATTTGGAGTTTCGGCAGATCAATCTAAAATTTCCTTTGTATTGGGTTCATTGTTTCTGTGCATGGTTTCAATAAGTTGAGGCAAGTCATTTATTAGATACAATAAATGTACACATGGAGATAGCAATAGAAGCTCACCCGGGAAGCGAAAAGAAACCCAGTTATCGAAGAAGTCATAATAAAAACATTTCAACTCAACCCTAAGAAAGCATAAACCCTATTGTACAATCGGCATAAATAGAGGAAGAAAGAAGCCATGTATACATAAAATATGTATTATAATAGATAAAGAGAAGGGAAATTCTATTTGTACACTAGATCTAGTGTACATGTAGTAGATCTCGAGAAAGAGGGCACCGAGGCACAGAGAGGTATATATGCAAAAAGGGGTGATTTCTTGGAACCCACCATTTTCTTTGAAGGGATTAAAAAATTAGTCATGCTATTTTTTTGTGTGTGTGTGTGTGTGTTGTGGGTGTATATATATATAAATACGGAAATGATCTTTTAAGTATCGGTATTTGGTGACATGACACACTATTTAATTGGTGAATAAGTTAATGATAGATTCCATGTATTTAATGATTCATCAATTAAATGGTGTGCCATATTACTGGTGTTTAACATAAACTAAGCACCGGTGCTTTGGAGATCACTTCACACACATACACACATACACACATATATATAATTTTGACAATTCACATTTAACAACATTGCATTCATTCGTTTCAAAAATTATTTGTTAAATCAATGTTCTAGATCTTAACAAAATCAATGTTGTCGACCATAAAACTCAAACACAATTGTACAAATAGATTAATTTTTAAGGAATATGGTAAAATAAATAATTGATACGAGACCCAACATGCCAACAAAAAAATGGCATCGTCGATTTGGTAAAGAAGATAGATTTTTATTGGTGATTTGTGAGAGGAGCGGAGAGAGAGAGAGAGATTTGTGTAGTTTGACTTGTGGGTTTTTGCTTATACCCTTCTTGAATTCGATAATCATAATGGAAATTTGAATTGCTTATTACGGTCTCCAGTGGAAGGAATAATTAATTATTTAAAATATAAAGCTTCTTTTTCCCTCTAAAATGTAGTGTTCTAATAGTGATCAAGAGAGGAATTTAGTTTTTCCAATGGAGCATAAAAATGGATGCAATTTCAATTCAAGAATTAGATTCTCAAATCATGTTTGCGGTTTTTCAAACTAGCTTTTCAAATGTTGTCTTTACATTACTTCACATACATGTTAGATTCAATTTTCACTGAAAAGATGTGTTATTTCAAATATATGTGATGATAAAAAATTGGGTTCCAAGTCGTTTGCCCGACTTCATGTTAATCATTTCATTTAAAAAATATATGTTGGTCGAGGATGGCACATTGAGTTATTTAAATTGTTTCTTCCCAGAGCCCAAATTTTGCTATCTCCCAATAAATCTTGACATTGCACTGCAATTTAAAAGTTCTATAAATGTGACAACTCAAAAATCTAGTGAAGTGTCGAGATTTCATTAATAAAATAACGAAAACGAGACAGCATATTCAATCTTGTCTTCACCATCTCTAGGTAAATATTAAAGACGCTGCTAAGCAAAACTCTCTTCAATCTCTCTTCCAATATGCATATATTTCTTATCTGGATATTTTTTTAACAACAATATAAAAGGGGAGTGGATGGATCTAAGAATATTTATGAGATAAACATTCAAGTAAAATTTTCGGTCCGTAATAATTATAATGCATATTTACCAATCATAGAATAACATTTTTATGTATAAATGGCCACCAAATCTAGCCATCGAAGTCTTTGTATTCAACTCATAGCAATCGTTACCCAAATGAGTTATCATATAGTGTTGAAGTTGCTCGAAAGAATTGATGAAAAGATCTTAAATTTCAATTAGCATCTTAGTTAAAGAGTTGCTATAGAAAGATCATGTATCTTAATATGTTGTTATAAAAATGAGAAAATTAAAAAGCTCAATCTCGACTCGTCAATTTTTATTTAAATTAAATATACAAACTTTCAATATATTAAACTTGAGCAACTGATTAATTAATTTATATTAATTATAAATCTTGCCATTTAGTTAGGCACGCCGTAACCCTGGCTAGAAAGTGGAAGTCCTTATCCATTTGATATATGACCTTTATTAATAGTTTTTAACAATTTTTCTTCAAAAAAGTTCAAGGTTATCTGTCGTCTCTCCACTTATTAGTTGGTGGTATTGCCTTTAATTTCTGGTATGCTTTTCATAAATTTTAAATTTGACTCGAAGTCATAATCGTGTAGACTTACCATTTTCGTTACAAGTTTGTTTCGCCATTAAATTATAAGATCCATTGTTGGATCTTAATTTCAAATAGACGGATAAAATTGCAAGTTCAATCTATGATACATATCAAATGAAAAATTATCAAGAATTCTATAGAAGAGGAAGAATACATGAATCTATGGTGATGAATCAATGGGGTTTGAGGTCTCCCACAGACTAATTACGGTACTCAATGGATTCTCTCTTATGTATGTAAATGAAGAGATATAAAATGTTGAATGATTAGTAGTAAGCAATTGTGTTGCACGTTTTATGTATCTAATGAATGATATGTATAATATTTTTGAAATACTAATATTGTTCACAAAAGTAGTTGAGGTAATTGATATTGTTAAATAAAAATTTAAAATTGTTAAAAAGTGTGTGTGTGTATAAAATACGATTTTTTTTCTTGAAAATTAAGTATATAATGTTAAAAGGTTGAATAAACTGAAATATAATGTTTTTACTATAATAACTTACAAAATTTTTTTTGTCAACATCCCACAACTTTTTTATTTTGAATTTTCTACTTTTATCAAGACTTTTATTTTTTGTATTGAAACTCCATGAGAAAAGTGCAATATATGGTTGCCAATGAGAGAATAAATGGTCAGGAGATATATTTCAACAGTATGCACTATTTTTCATTGAGCCTTGTTAATGATCATTGTAAAGCATAAACGTATTGAAAAATGTTTCCTCTTTAATTTGATCGGATATCTTTCACAATTTGCTGAAGTTAATAAGATGTGAAGAAGGAGAACTCGTCTAGCGTCTATTTCTGTATGGATAATATGTCTCTTGAAATCACAACACTGTTGGATGATCCAGATTCCTTAAGAGCCTCACTAGACAAATTTCTTTCCAAGTTTAACTTGTGTGGTGAGATACGATTTATCAACAGAGTATTTAGGAACTCTTCTTGGTAAAATTGATTTGTATTATCTATTGATTCATCAAAACTGGCAAATTATTCACATTCTCCAGGAAATAATCCAATTACTTTGTCATTGAGGCACTCAACATACTCATTTTTTGTTGGAAGAATTCTACTTTATGTCGGATAATCAAGAGAAACTGCATTTTCCATTAAACCTAGAACATGGTATTGATTAAGTGTAACTCCAAAGTTTCAGCATTGTCACATGCTATATTTATTTCATTTGGTAAATTGATGAAGTCATCCTCTATGTAAAGTTTTGTTCCATTATCAATTTGGATAAAGTATTATGCAAATCGATTATTATTTTGAGTATGCATGGTTTGATTTCGTAGCAAGTTTTTTCATTTTCTACCAAGAATACGATTTAACCAAACTTTGGTTAATTGTTTGTGGTCTTATTACTCTTGGAATGATAGCTAGTACTTAACGAAAATTTCCTTCAAATACAAAAACCTCTCCGCTAAATTGTTTTGCATTGTCCAAGATATGTCTAAAAGTTCTATCAATGATTTCTATTGTTATTTTGTTGGTTATTGGTGCTTCATCGCATATTATGAGCTTTGCTTCTAAATCAGTTCTGAAGTACTTGATAAAATATATTTTTATTATTGTTTAGTACTTTGCTTTAATATAATACACATTGGTTATTCATTAGTCTAGAGTAGAACATTAAATCTTGAATGGATGATTTTGTCTCTTGGCATTATTAGTGCTACTACACCTAAAGTTGTAGTAGTTGCTATCACTTATGAGATTGAGCCCTTGATAGTAAAGCACGGTATAAAAAGGCTTTTGCTGTATCGCCATGTCCATTGATAAAAATACATGTTTGTTTTCAGTGTTCATTCTTTCAAGTATAACATCAAAAGCACAATTTTTATGTGGATCTAAATATAATGTTGCTTGAAATCAACATTTGGAGTTTTGATAGAACTATCTAAAATTTCCTTTGTATTGGGTTCATTGTTTCCATGAAATGTATCAATTAGTTGAGGTAAGTCATATATTAGCTATATGGATATGTACATCTAAATTCGAAAGTTTGCCTAAAATCCAAGTAAATATATTTGATTCATTTCATTTCAATTTTATCTAATTAGATTCTGTATCATTGAAGACACATCTTTTCAAACAATCTTGTGAAAGCAAAAAGGAAATGATGATAAAAAATCGTAAAAATAATTGATAAGAACTTAAAATCAAAATCTAGTTCTAAATTTACAATTTAGGAAATAGAAACACACAATTCTCTTCAATGTTAACTTGTTTTATCTTATGAACACTACTTTTTCCTCTCTCTCTCTCTCTCTCTCTCTCTCTCTCTCTCTCTCTCTCTCTCTTTTTTTTTTATTTTTTTTAATTTTTTATTTTTTCTTGTGAAGAAGAGATATTGCGAACGAGAGAATAGACTGTGGGTGGGGAAGTAAGTATATAGGAAGTGAAAACATAGAGGCAATATGCAATAAAATTTTTGGTGAAATTCAATATAGTCAAGTACTTCTTTATGGGCATTCATCGATAAAAAAAGGGGTTGCCTAGTTAACCCTAGAAAGACATTCTTGAAATGGGGAAACTGACGTTGCAAAAGATTAATAACATTGTATATTTAATAAATTAAGTTTATATTATTGATTGAGAATGAATTAGGAAATTGTTTTATCTATGAATTAATTAATAATTTTTATTTGGCTTTATAATTAGGTTAGACTGGAGGACGAATTAATTCGAGGATTAATAGCAGAAAATCCCCTGAGAAACATTTCATTGTGTGATATACCCCTTACTTATTGGAAATTGTAGAAAACCTGTTTGAAACATTTTGTGCGAAATCCTCCCTATCGTTAATAACAGTCAAATTTCCTGTTAAAAACAATAAGAAATGCAAAATTAAAAAGGAAAAATTAAAATTTCAATACCCTAACTTTTTTTTAAATTAAATCATTTTTTTTTTATATATATACCACATATAAGTCCAAATCTTTAATTAAAACTTTATTTTCCACATGAGAAGGTACAACAATGGATGCACCAGAACCAATATTAACAATTGCACCTTTCTTCCTTGCAACCATTTCCTCTATAATACCTCTTGTACTGAAACTTGTTCCCTCCTCATTAGCTCTCACTAAATTCATCCAAATTTCTTCATCCACCTCATGAAACAACATTGCTGATGGATATGTAACTCGTACATTATTGATCAAAACATCTTTCATTTCAAGAATCCCAGCTAAAATATTTGGCCCGTAAAGTCAATTTCGAAAATCTTGATCAATGTATTACGATATACTTGGCTTGAATTTCATTAGTCCTATTTTTGAGTTTGCTCAAGTTTCTGCTTACTAGTATTAGGTTTAGACATTTTTTGGCAACGTAAACAATAAAAGCTTTCCCTATGCCATCAGTTGAGCCAGTGATCATTGCCCAAGATCCATCATTCTTGAAATTTTTGGGTTTTCTGAAAAATGTTATGGAGATCCATTTGAGAAGCAAAATAATGTTCTTGATAGAGGTAAAACCTAGAAAAGAGAGAAGAATTATGCACAGAGGTTGTTTTTTTGATGAATAAAGCTGGTTGAGAGCAGTGGCGGATCCAGGATTTTGAGTCAGCACGGGCAGTTGTTGATCGTCGACTGTCAACTGCAATAAAATATTAAGAGCCCATTTGATGTCATTTTCTTAGCAAAAAATATATTTTGAAATAGTGATTTGATAGAAAATGTGTAGTTAAAAATAAATGAAAGTTTTGAATTTGCGTATAATATTCTTTTATTAAAAAGATGTATGATTAAAAATAAGATAGATAAAAATGTATTTTGAAATAAATGAGAATCAAAAAAGGCCTAAAATTTAAATATAACAATTATTTTGTTTAAATTGAACATATATAATTTTGTTATAAGAATAAATTATATTCATCAAACGATATCGTTGCCAAGTTTTGTATAATTTAAATGAAGAGTACAGGTTTGGATGATTGAAATTGCATTAAAACCAGATGTAACATATAATATTTTGTTAAACCTAGAGTGAAAAAAGAGTAATTGCTACGATGGTTAAGCTTGCAATAATTTTAGCACAAGGTCCCAGGTTCAAATCTCTTCTGGCACTGAATTAATTTTGGTAAAAATAAAGATTCTAGAACTAAAAATATTGCAAAATAACTTGGTTGCCAAAACATTCAAACTCAAGACCTACATCATGTATATGCACAGTCTAACTAACTTAACCTGAAGGGATGATTGAAACAAAGACACATTATCAGTAATATTACCTAAAATGTTGTTTGTTGTCAACCAAAAAAAAAAAAAAAAAAAAAAAAAAAAGAGTTGCCGACGGATCCAGCACGTGTAGCTGCGGGAGTTTGTCAGGCACTGAATCCGCCAGTGGTTGAGAGCATTTTTTGAACCTTGGGAAGATCTTATTTCAAAGGTTAAAATTTGTTGAGGTTCATTATAAGCTTTTTCCGAACTTATGGAGAAAACTGCAATTAATATTTCTTTATTGTTCTCTATTTTCTCGAAAGAAAGAGTATGAAATTCTTTTTCCCTTCTACAGGGACCACGAAATTGGATCCATGCATCAGTTTATTTTAATGCAAAGAACATGACTCCACCAGCCATTGGAAAGCATTTCCAAACCAAAACCAAAAATGAGGAAGAAAGATTAAGTGGGGTAGGGGTGTGGAAAATAAAGTTTTAAAGATTTGGAATTATAAGTCGCACATATAAAAAATTTGGATTTAATTTGTAAAAAACAAATAAAAAAATTTGGGCATTGAAATTGCAATTATTCCTTCTTAATTTTAATATATATATATATTTTTACTATTTTAACACAAATCAGACATATATTGACATCAAGGAATTTTCACACAAAATATTTCAAAGATGGGAGGTTTTATATGATTTCCAATATGTAGAGTTATATCGCACATGAAAACGTTTCTTAGGGGTGTTTTCTACTATAAATCCTTAATTCTATAAGTTCATGAACTTTGCCATTTCATCACTGATATCTTAATATACTTTTGCAAATCATTGTTGAAATATTTTTTAACCGCACTATTAATGATTTTAGCAATAGTTTGGATTGAAAATAAAAAATTCATTACTGAAACATTTTGTTTTCATGCTATACAATAATAATTTTTAATTGTACACAATAATGCTTTTCTTAAATAAATATAACAATTCTTATTGTTGAAATATTTTTTTTATTATCTATACTAATATTTTCTAAGATTTTTTCATTGCATATAATAATGCTTCTTGTTGAAACTTTTTTTAATTGTACATAATAATGATTTTTTTTTAACGAAAGCCATAATACCAATAATTAGTAATAATTGTATTTAGTGGTGTAGAAGTTAATTTTTTTTTTTTTGTAAATAAATTAAATATAGTGTTAAATAGATATCGCGTGAGGTATATTGGGCTTATGATTAAATATATAAGGGTAAAATTGATAATTAAAAATTTCTCCTCAATAATTCCTTTTTATATATATCGTAGAATAGCCTTGGGGACCATAACCCTTAAACTGTTTTATATATTAATTTTAATTGGAGTTCCATTAACCTTAAATATTCTAGTAACGAGTAACTACATTTTGCAAATTCCTTATCTAATAGATGCTTTAGAGACCAACATCTGGATAACTTATATTGATTTTACTTAATTAGATAGCTCATAACAACTATTAATTAAACATATAAGCTCATCGCAGAAAATAGTAAACAGTTCACAGAGCTGGTCCTGTGATTTATGGGCTCTGAGACGAAGCGTGTAAAGTAGGCCCCCCAGCGAAAGCAATTTAAATACAAAATTCAACGGTGTATTATGCGACCCATTGCTAACTTAAAAAACTAACATTAAAACAACAACTAAATATATTATAAAAACGATTTATATTATAAACTATCAAAACCAACAATGTTTCAAACAATTAGTTGAGTATTATTCGTCTTGCCGTTTTAGAGGCAAAAACATCAATCAAATCTGAATAATTTAGCTACCCAACCATTTCTTTTTCTATTGATAATATAGCCAACTCGTTTAATCTTTCTTGTGACATAGATGATCGAAGATAGGTCTTGATCAACTTCAATTTTGAGAAACTTCTTTCCGTAGATGCAACTGTAACTGGTATGGTTAACAAAATTTTGTAAGCAATATAAGCATTTGAGTAACAAATATTGTGAGTCTTCAAATATTGCAGCACTTCAATTGCTTTTGTTGTTTCATTTGGTAAATAAATCTTCAAGACTTGTAACTCCGAACATAAATCATTTCCATTGATGTTCGAACGCCCATCATGTTCAAGATATTTCTCAAGATTCATACAAGAGTTCAACAAACTTGATAAAGTCGCATCCCTTAACCTTTTCAAATTAAACAAAAATCCAATTATGTCATCATATTGTTTGAATTGTTCAAATTGACTCCTCAGAGAAGATAGAGCTTGATCAATTATAAAAATAAAGTACTCATCTTTAAAAGATTTTTCTGCTGATTGCTTTACCTCATCACTACCGCTTTCATCAAATTGTTTTTTCCTTCGAATTATGCGTTTTTTTGTAAATACAGCTTCAATTCCCATGTCATTTGCTTTTTTTGTTGCTTCATCCATAGCAACGGCAAATCCGATTTATCTATAATCTTCAAAAAATAAAACAAGTCTTTGCAATAGATCGATAGCATGATCAATATCCATGGATTCGGTTTGAAAAAATTTACTCACAATATTGACTGCATGCAACAACCGATACTAGATTACTATGCCAAGCAAAAACTCAAAATTCTGAAGTTCATGTGTTGCTAACGACTCGGCTTCGCTCTTCACTTTAGGATTTTCGTTAGATTCTGCCAAATCAAGTAAGGCTTCTCTTATCTGTGCAGTTTGCTCCATTATAGGCTTCACACTCTCAACATGACTTTCCCAACGTGTTTGTGACAATGGCTTTACCGTCAACCCTTTTACATTATCTTTGAAAAATTTTCATCGCTTGGTAGAAGAGGAAAATAAAGTGTAGATGCATTGTATCACTCCGAAGAAGGGTACAGCTTTGGAACAACAATTCACCATATCACATCATGCTAGATTTAGACTATGAGCACTACATGGAGTATAGAAAGCTCGGGGATTCATTTCGTGTACTCTTTTTTGTACACATTTGTGCTTCCTGCTCATGTTAGATCCATTATCATACCCTTGTCCTCTAATGTCATCAATATCCAGATCAAGTTTGATCAAAACCTTTTGAAGCTCGGTTGCAAGTCCAAGTCCTGTTGTGTCATCTACCTTAAAAAATTCAAGCCAATGTTCCTCAACTGTAGGTAAGTTTGATGAATCATCTACAAATCGTACTATTAAAGACATCCGCTTCTCACGACTTGCATCTAGAGTACAATCAAGTATAACCGCGAAATATTTTGCATGTTTAACTTTCTTGACAATTGCATTTCTCATGTCATTAGCCAACAACTATATCAACTCATTTTGGATTTTTTTTGCCAAGGTACCTGTATTGAATCTCTCTTGCATTAGCCCGCCGATGGTGCTCTTTCATTGCTGGATCAAACTCACTAACTATTTTCACCATTTGTAAAAATAGGCCATTATTCTCAACATTTAGTCTCTCATCATCTCCTCGAAATGGCAAGGTATTTTTGGCGAATCTTTTAACCATAGCGATTATCCTTGTTAATACATGCCTCCAATGTTCTCTTTCTGCATCGATCAACAATTCAACGCTTTTATCAATTGTAGTTTTTGTTCGAAGCCTATTTTCCAATTCAATCCAGCCAGTCATGCAACATAAATGGTCTTCATTTCCTTCATGACTTTTAATAGACCGATGCAAATTATACCAATCTTTGAATCCATCATTACCTAGTTGGCCAACTTTGGTCACATTTTTGGGTGTTTTAAATAGCTTCCAACAAAAGCAGAAGATCATGTCCATAGATATTGAATATACTAGCCATCTTCTATCAATTGTTTGCCCATTTCGTAGCAGTCGCTTATATTGTGAAGAATCGAAATGTCTATTTGTACAATCTTTTAGAAATGAGATGTTATCAACTCCTTTTGGACCCCTTTCAACTAAGTAATCTCTTGTTTTCTGATCAATGATTTTCCAATTCTCGGGATCCTCCAAATTTAGAGAAAAGGAACCCTCTTCTTCTTTATCATCTTCTTCATTATTAGAGGCGGGTTTCATCACTTCTTCTTCTTTATCATCTACTTCATTAACATAGTCAGGTTGACTCACTTCTTCATCCATACTATCTACTTCATTAACATGGGCAGGTTGAATCTCTACTTCATCCTCATTCAACGCATTCACATTGTTGCTTTTGAAGTACTTGTTAATATCCCCTACTTGACTTTGAATCAATGCAATTTCATTTCATTTCCTTTTCCTCTTTTGAGTACCAGACTCATATTTAGGAGACATAGTGTATGAGTCTGTATCTAATGTCCAATGATTAACCTAAAAAATAATTACAAAATATCTCAATCAACACACAATTACAATTTCCAATACAATTACTATGTGCGCCTGTGCAATTGTTCATCCCACAATAACCAATCATATAAGCCGACCAGGCTGCAATTATATAAGCCGACAAGGCTTCAAACATTTTCAATCTCTTTAATAACAAGTTAGGGCAAGACATTGCTTATCTGAGAAGTGAAATTTTGATGATAATTGTAGAATTACACGGTTGAGTATGATCTCGTCACAACTCACAAGCCTGAAACAAAAATTTATATAAAATTATATATGATGTCTAAGATTTCCAAGCCTAAGATCTAGTGATGAGGGAATTAAGAATATTTAAGAGTAGCAAACCTTGATTTTATTGTTCGATTTTAGTTAGTTGTTCTCGATAATTAATTAATATTTGACGTTTGAATACATAAGACTCTTATAACCATCACATTCAAAATTGCAATCCTTACAAACTTGCTAAAAAGTTAATTTGTTTAATGAAATATGGTGGCAGAGCCACTTTGGGTTAAGCACCGTTTCTATCAACTAAAAATAATTTTGCAATATTAATGGAATATTGAGGGCCAAAATGTTCTTTTTCAAAAGTTGGGGACTAACTCTCTATTTACATATATAAACTCTACCATGCAGCATATTGCATTTAAAGATAATAAATAATGTTCATGCAATATATGTCAAAGAGTAAAAGGAATTGTAATCTAATGAATTGGAACCCATAAAAAGGGTCTTCTGATGAATGGATGGAATCATTTTGCATTATGATTCCTTTACAACATAATATTTTATCAAATTAGTAATATAGAAAAAGTGATTATCCAACAACACATTACACAGATAGTCTAACTGAAGGGCTAATGATGATTTATATTTATAACTCACATCCATTATGCAACAATTCTATAATCAAATACAGTGAACAAATTCTTGGAACACCTTTATTATTGAACCCACCATCCATCTTAGTATATACAACTAGCAACTGCTTCCTCCCTTTGGAAAATTGGCCCACAGCAAATCCACCATAAGCAATCTCCATATCGTCAATCCAATAGTTTCGTCACCATTCCCCACCTCATTTACTCCCCTATGCACTTCACTCGGGTCACTATTGCTATTATCATAGTTATTACCATTAGCCGAAAGAAAAGTGATCTATTCAATAATACAAACGAGACAAAAATCAAACAAAAAATGTAATCTTTCACCTTTACGTTAAAGAAATCACTACATAGAAAAGGGCAGTCAACACAAAACTTTGTCAAATCTTGTGATTATATCGCACCAATTGCTCTATCCCATACTTCTAACACTGTTTTAACGTTCTTATAACTATTTATTAACAATTGGTCATGAATAAAAGCAACAGACTTTAGAAATTCCAAGCTCTAAATTTTTTAGAGTTGTATCAATTATCAAAATCACTATGAAAACAATAATATTCCTTTAGTCAACCATTTTAATATAGGGCATCGGAACAAAATGTTAGCGATCAATTTCGTTTTTCCTACTCTATTGGAAGGTATATGAATCAAAATATGAAAAGCATCAAAATGCATTTGTGTGAGGAATTCTATCAAACACAAGATTCGCAATAATTTCACCATTACAATCATTAAACTATATATAAATTCACAAAAAATAATACTAAAGTAAAAAAAATCTAGGAAATGAAATTAAACTTACCTACGTGAAACTATTTCACGTTATTAGTTTCAATTACGAATTCAATTTATTTCGAGAAATTGAGCAGATTGTTGAGCTGCTGCAGATGAACATTTATGTAATTTTGGGTTTTAATTACAACCTTTTTTCAGAGATGAGCGGGTTGAAGCGTATTTTGAGTTAGGGCTTGGTTGGGGCTATATATGATCTCTTTTCATCCGTTTTTCACGTTTAAACTACGGTTCATTAGGATATTGATGAATAAATTTGTAATTTAGGGTACTAATCAATTCTCTTCGTTTTGGGCCGTATTTAACCTAATTTCCTCTAATTAGTTTTGGTTCTTTGGACCGGCTATTTTTAAGAGGGAAAAAAATTATTGGGCCAAAATTAGGTCCTTTCGGCCGGCTGGATAATTGGTTTTGGCTTGGGCCAACTGGTCTTGTTCTTAAGAGAAAAAAATAAAAAAGTAAAAAAATAATTGGACCAAAACGAGGCCCCCTATGGTCCTAGGCCTGAGGTGCAGGCCTCACTCATCTCAGCCCAGGACAGGCCCTGACAATTCACAAGTCAGGAGTTAAATATGGAGCAATTCAATTTTCAGGTTTTAAGTTTCAAAGTTTAAAACTCAAGTATCAATTAATTAGTTAAAAATACACTGCTAATTAATTATATTAATTAATTAAGGTCACAAATTTACAATTATTAGACACATGTACGTATTTATAAGTTACACTGTTAAATATTATCAAATTAATTGGTCACAGATTATTTCATGATCACAATAAAAACTTTTGGTAGATTATAATATATTTGATCATTTTCAAATCAAAAAATTTATAGGTCACAAATCAATTACAAGTTTTCGAATTAATTGGTCATAAATAACCAAATATTTGATCACGGATTAACCAAATAGTTGATCACATACACCAAATGATCACATACCACCACGGGCACTTGTGACCACCAACACCCCGCCACCACCACTGCTAGATCAACTGCCAACAAAAACCACCCCAACACCAAAAATCAACAAACCAAAAACACCATAAAATGCAACAAACTACCACCATCGTTCTCTGGCAGCAACCTGCAAAGCTGTCCATTAGCGACGGTGCAATCTCTATATCAACGGTACAGATCGAGGGAAGCCACATCCATCATAGCGCCATTATTGATCTCAAACCCTCGTGTTGCAGCTTCTCTACTTTCAGCAAGACAGTGGTGCAAATCTTTTCCAATGGGGCAACAGTTCGATCTCCAGCGGGGACAACACTCAAATCTCAGATCTCCAACAATTTGGCATTCAATAGTGACTCCATCGAAAGCGATCATAGCTATGAGTTCAACGATGGTCTTCGACTGTGGGTGCAGTGACGATAAAGGTGTTGGTAAGGTTGAGAGACTGAGAAGAGACAAGATGGAGAGAAATGAATTTTAGGAT